TCATGTGATACTTCATCAAAAGTTCGTGGGTGGTCGCATAGAAAGCAAATACTAGAGTAGTGTACTTACGCGACACCCCTATCCAGTGTGATACTGTCATAAGATCTCTCGGTCGATATAATCGAATATCACTTTAAGGACGAGGAATACAGCTAGTGTAGGGAATCAATAAGTGTGCCTTTGTTCCCATATCTAGCGGAGACTGGATATCGGATCAATACACCCAAACCCAGTTCTGAAGCCTGTCTGGTTTTGTCGGATTTCGTTTTTCTAAGCTCTACTAAGACAACTGATAACTATGGAGCTGGAAATCTTAGACACACTGTTTGTCATGCTGATTCCCCTTTCTTGAAAACTGGGAGAATTATTGATTAAGACTAAACAAAAGGGATAATATTCGACTCCTATGCATCTGATTAATAATTCACAATCGCCATCTTTAAATACCTCCCGTCTTGATACCCTTCTTCGTTCTAGATTACTTACGGCTTTCTCAGCTTCTGGGGTTTGGGAGGATAGTGGCCAACGGAACAGTAGTTGGAGACCTATCAAGTTGATTTTCGAAGTGTTCTGTTCATGGTTGTAGCCGTCCCCCCTACAAGTGAGTCACAGACCCATCCTACTCCGTTGTACAATCACTAACCATTGACTTTTTTGCTCCAGTTTCCTTGATGAGTCTAAATAGCTGCTTACCGTTACTTATCACCACCATCCTTTCCATCTCCTTACCCTTCGCTGTTTACCACTGCTCACGGTTATTGAGTAGACTATTTGCCAGTCTATATTTGAGTTGCTTCAGCCTCTGAAAGGAGCCTGCAGGGATGCGTGTACGTTCATTAAGAAGATGCTGAAATTCACTGACCCCTTTTTAGCATCTTTGTGAGAGACAGTTATGGTATTTAACACTTTATGGAAGAGGAGAGAACGCACTAAGCCTAAACAGGATGAGTGATGTTGTTCCATTCCAATAACTGTCTAACCAGTTTCTCGCTCAAAGCAGCCTTAGTATTCTCATTGTTGAGCTGTGCTTGCAGTGATCTAGCTGCTGTAGTTTTTCTACGTCCAGCCAGGCGCAAACATACACGTGCTCGAACCAACGTGTGGTCATTATCCAAACACGTGCTCCAGAAACATTGGCAATCTTCCACTAACCCCCCTTAGCGATTATTGAAAGTAATATGGTCAATCTTTGTCCACCGCTGAGTTTGGACCAGTGGATGTTTCTGCATATCTGAAGTTTGTCCTGGTCAGAAAAAGATGGTATTCTAAGTACAGTTGTAGTAGGTGATCGCTGTTATCTGTTTTTTTCCAGCGGGGATTCCCCAAAAGTGCCACCTGAGCACCTTTCTGCCTGACTTAGTCTACCCAACTCAGCATCGAAATAACCTGACACAACAACCTCTGAACATTTCGCTTCCAGTTGGAGGCTACAGTTTCCGATGAAACTCATCCTTCACTTCATCCAAACTCCAAGCAGCAGGTGCGTAAGCAAAGATTACAAAACGACAACGGTGTTTCAATACTCTTTAGTTTTCACTGTGCCGGTCGGCCGAACAGCACATAGGTGACTGTTAACTGGGATTCAGTCGAGAACATTTTCTGTCTTAGAACTTAATGCTATACTTATGACAGCGAGATCGCAAAAATTAGCAGTTAAGTCTCCAGAAACTCGAAGGCTGAATTCAACAGATACTCCAGTCAATATACCATTCAGTTCAACTAACAATTCTGAACCGTGTTTAAGAACCCCTAAAGAACCCAACCAAAACGTAACGCATTTCTTGAGTTCCAGTTTCTTAAAACTCTTAACATCATATGAAGTTGGAAAACCGAAACTAACCCCTACTTAAATTGTAGTGAAATGGTAGATAACTGAAGTATAAGCAGAGGTTTTCTGGACTGTTTTTCAAATTCAAATATCCATTTCATCACTGCGACTGTTTATCTTGAAAACGGACCACTTAACTGTCTTTCTTAACTATAATACTTCTAAACCCGGTCAAAATGACTGAGATTAATTATCACCGTTGCCTCCATTTCCTCAGCTTCGGTGCCCATCACTTCACACACTCTTTGCAAGTTAATTTTTGAAATGGTTTAGTCCCTCACTGTTCTTAGAGTCAGCTTTTGTTCAGAAATGCGTCCTAAGTTAGCTTTAAAAGTGTATCAACTTTTTCAGATCCATTTATGGGATTAATAATCATTTACCCACTGGTTTCATAGTATGAAAACAGGCTACCAATGTCACTTTCTATTAAAACCGTGTAGCTACATCTCCTTTTGGTAAGAAGTTGTAAAGGGTTGCCATCTACATCTTGTCTACACCCACTGTAGAGCTTGTGCATTTACTCTATTCATTTAAAGTGAAACATGGAAGAGCATAGGTACTAAGAAATGCTCTACAAGGAGCTGGTATGCACGTGGTTTGAACTCACATGTGCTCCCATAAGTGATATTCCTCTACTGATCGTTTTCGACAACGACTGTTGGATAGACCTGTGTTAACCGTTGGGTCAGTGGTCACCAAGTCAGGCATTTTATTGTTTCCCGATTAAGGTTAGTGTTGGCCAGTAACCGGCTGTCAAATGGGCAAAATTTCAAGAGACGGACACAATTTTTTTTTCACGAGTCCAAGATTCTACAAACAATAACATTGAAAGGTTAAAAAGGTACGAGGAAGATCCTGTGAATACTCACTGCATACCTTTTTTGCGTTTGATTCTCAAACTACAGCGCAGAAGCCATTTATTACGATGACCATGGCTCTAAGCTTGGCACTTTGAATTGAAATACTCAGAGTTCAACCCTATTGATAGACTGCTCATTAAGACTCATGTGGGAAGTGTGCAGTTGGTTCAAGACAATAATACCATACAGACACCGGTAAGATCATAGTGATTGGATGGAAACACGTCTTTACGGTGAATAATGAATGTGCACTATTGTAGCCCTGATTCACTGGTTTAAAAAACTTGACTTCATACCAAGTTCCAGTCTCTCCCTGCATGCTACATTTTTAGCAGCCATGTAGTATTATACATGAAGTCTGTCTCACAGACCAGTACACTAAATTTTGATTCCTGAATTGCATCACAAATTCCTCGCAACGACCAAGTTACACTACGTAAACACCCATATTAGAGGTATATTTGGTAGAAAAATACCATACCATATACATTGAAGAGTAGTAACGACAAATTTCCGAACAGTAAACTCTGTTTTCTAAATGCAGAAAAGGTTTGTGTACTGAAAACCTTAAAGCGTAGCTTTAAACTGATTAGGGGGAACAAGGATGTTATTAAAAAGGCTAGAAGTTTTAGTAATATTGAAAAGACAAGAAGTAAAGGGAACTGCAAAGAAGATACTGCCGATAGAAAGAAGTGATAAAGGTTGTGGAAGTGAAAACCCTGTGCTGTAGGAGGTTTAAGGACGACTGATAACTATAGTCACCTGGAAAAGAAATGAGCATGACTCGACACCCTCAAGGTCTGCTGCATTACCACCTGTCAAGAAGGTCATTTTTGATGATTGCCACTCATTCCTTTCAAAACCTTATCAGTGGTAATGGGAAGTCATATAGATTGCCGGAATGAACAGTTTCCAGGATTATGTTTTTCTAAGAAACACACGACAAGATGATTCAGCATTCACGCTGAGAATATTAACACTCAAAGCAAATAACTAACTGGTAGGAAATCACTCCAAGACAGTTATAACATAGTAATTATTCATGGTAAAACAGTATAAGCCCTTAGTTTTGTAAATCTCTAAAAAACTTTGCTGATATCATAGAACTTAACGCAACAAACTTTTAAACCGGGGGATATGGAATGAATTATTGCAAAGGATGAAAGCAACTATCATATCAAGATAGAGGCTTGCTTGTCTATATTTGTACGGCTTTTTCACTCCTGCATTCGGTCAACGAATTCCCCCAACTTACTTCTATCACCCGCATAATTTAAGCCAGGCACATTATATACACGCAAAAATTTAAGCCCTGAGAAATCGTAAGAAAATAGGGTCACACATCGAATATGTCTATAACTATGTTCAGTAGGATGGTGAATATCGCTGGTTTTAGTCACTCAAGATAAAACAATATTTAAGATACCACATGAACGCATTTGTTCGAGTAAAGTGACTTGATTAGCATAACATAAACTCTCAGACACACCCCCAACAAAACATTTTCATCAACGGAGTGAGACAGTGCATTCATGTCAAGGAGACAAGTTTTAAGTATCGGTAGGTATGTTTGTGTTCTGCACAAAAATTCAACTAACACCACGTTTTCTAGGCCTGATACCTACCCGATTTTCTGGAGTTCGTCATTCATGAGGTCAGCTTAAGCGTTGAATGACTATGGAGGCCCTTACATTAGATAATAACTCCCCTGAAGTTATTAAATGGTAATTTTTCTCACAAAATGGAGTGATCAACGATCTACACGAATCTGATGGAAATACGAAGTAACCAAATACACTAGCTAGTACTCCATTCACAAGTAAATCCTGACCATCATCCTCAAAGACTTTTAGGAGTGTGTACTGTCAAACATGACTGCTCTGGCCTGTTTCAGGTTTGAAACAGTGTCTTTAATGATGAATAGATATGGAGAACTGATATCTTTAAACTGTTTAAACTAAAGTCGCGTGATAAGTAAATGAAGCAGCATTGTAGGTCAGTCAAACCGTTTCTAAGATTTGATATTACTTTTATTTGCCTATTTCGAGGTCATTAAACATCTGTCTTTATTAGTGTATCTCACTGGCCATCGACTTTTCCGGGTTGACTTGATTTTGAAATGGTGTGATTTCATTGAAGTTAGATTCAACAGTTGGTTTTGTAAAAGATTTTGAAAACAGAGTACTGGAAGTAAGAATACATATCATTGATATTTTTGTGGAAACCTGCTTGAAAAGAATTAAACATAAACTTCCAGGATAAGCACAGCAAATGATACGAAAAAAAGTAAAATACCAATGGAATGATGTTACCTCCAGCTGATTCGTACTTGAAGAATATCCACCACATTCCGCCTGGACAGTGTTACAATTATGGTTTCTGTTGTTGGAACTAGAATTGTTTGTTGCACGACCTAAGCGAAAACTCACGGGTTGATTCGTCTAGAAAATAAGAAAGAGATAATAATGTTAATTACATGCACAACAGAATTAATTCTATTCTAGATATTGCACACATTAATTTGAAACTGAGTTATCTTTAAAAGTACTCACGGAAGATGATATCTCGAAACAGATAGTTGTTTGAGAGACGTGAGATGGACCAGATGAATCTAAGTTGGCAGATTCTGAAGCAAGCTGGTTGCGGACACGTTGTCGCTGGCTATTGCGGCGTCGTGCTCTTATGGAGGCTTCTGATGTTGCACGTTCACTTAGGTCTTCGATTAAGTCCTGCAACAGCTGACGCCCACGATGACGCCTCATAGCCTGTTGTTCAAGTCTTCTTTGTGCGGTGAAACTAAGCTCACGTCGTAGGTGAAGGTTTTCTGAACTGGAATCATCTATAGTGGTAGTTAATTCATCATTATCACTTTCCTCTGCCTCTGAGTCAATTAATCTACGCCGTATATTCCTTCTAACCCGTCTGTCGGAAGCATTAGCAGCAGCAGCTTCCGGGCGAACAACTCCATGTCGAAGACAATCTGGGCAAAACCAGTCTCCATCTGGGATCGATGAAAGAGGAGTGGGAAGACAGTAAGTGTGATACCCCCTATCGCAGTGATCACATAAAAGTAAATGTGCTTCATCATCTGGACGCTGACAGATTTCACAGTTAGTGTCTAATTCCAGTGGTGGAGTTTCTGGAGGTTGCTGTTTAACTGGCGGTGCACTAACCTGTAGTAATCAAATCACAAAAATGAAAGTAATAGATTATCATATTTAACATATATTATGCCAGTAAAATGAAATCTAAGTAATGTTTGTTGGATATGAAATCAACGAGCTTGAAAGTTTTTTAAATAATAGATACACCAGTATTTTTACATAGTGTTTATTGAATATGATCAGAGACATTTATGCATAGCTTCATTAAACACACTTGTAATGTATAAGTGGGATTAGTTTTCCAAGAGTATTAATATACCGTATTAATGAAGTACTAATAAATACTTCTGTTACGAACAATGCATTGCTAAAAGTTCGCTTCATAGTTAGAAGCACAATGGAAATATAAACGACGGTTAAGTGAACTAAGTAATTCGACAAAAAACGTCACGCAGCGGTGACACCTCACACGAGATGACACTCATACACCTAGTTTTCTGCAAGAGGGTTAAGATTAAAACTGAGTAGCCAAAAATAACTACGAATCAAAAAGTTAGACAAAAAGAATATATCACGAAACAGAGATCAGAAGCAAGATATAAATGAAAATATGAATGAATTAGAATTTTCTCCAAACTACTCTCAAATGAGGGAAAATTCGTAAACCTTGGAGAATCCAAGATTCGAGAAGCCTGCTCTCTGTGAATCCTTAACGTTAGGTTACAGCATGCAAAGAAGAATATTAATGTCAACATTTTTATCTGGTAGGTAGGCAATCACTCCAATAACATATTTGGCAGCTTACTAGTAATTAATTAATAATCAAACCATTTGGTTTCAATTTCCATGATAAAAATAGAGGAAATGATCTCAGGATCCATAATCATCCTGTGTCTAGGTGATACCAAATGACAGCATACATAAAAAATTCAAGCAGGTTTTAGACTCCATCGTAGGCATATCAACTAGATCAAGGAGAGAAAAAAGTTGCAGGTGCTCGATGCTACTCATATTTTCGACCCGCAAAGCGATATTTAGCTTTATAGATTGAGATATCTTATGTGGCAGCCTGTCGTTGTGGAAGACACTTAGTAAATATAACATTTCAATGAAGGCTCTTTATTCCAAGACGTGTGGTTGCCGTCAGTGAGCTATACCTCGAAGTAGCTTCGTAGGTTAGAACTCGTCACAGATATACGTTCTCCTCACATTTGCAGAACTTTCTGCTTAGATGTGCCGGTTGCTAATGAAATCTCAAACGCACTCACCCAGCTTGTGCAGATTCGTGCAGTAGGCAATGTTCCACACCTATTGTGCGAGGGTTTATGATGGCTGCCAAAACCTCGGTGGGTGCAGCGCGATTCGAATAAGTGGTCTTCGCTTCCATGAGACAGACCCGTCCACCACTTTCCAGCTAACGCTATCTCTGGAGCCAGAGAAATATGCAACTACCTATCAAAGAACTGGTATGAGGCACAACAATTCACTTTGTCCGGTTGTATGACTGTCAGACATGGCCATTGGAAGTAGATATAAGGAGCCTATAGGTTTTTAACTATAGACACCTCCGTAGCATGGCTCACTTGTCGTGAAACCACAGTGAGTATTGTTGAGGTATAAAGTAAGGAAGGTAAGTCCAGTAATGAGGTCTCAAACATATGGCGACTGACGTCTTTTAGACACATGGTGCACACAATAAGTCCCTACGTATCATGACTCGCGATGTTAGCGAGCGTAAAAAGGGTTATAAAAAAGCTATGGGTAAACCAATCACTTAGCATAAACGTCGGATCCAGGCATTGACTGCCTAACAGTCCAAGTTACCACACTTGATATCACTACATCAAGATAGTAGGGACACATGAAAGACACAGAAATAAGGAAGAAAGTAATCGAAAATGACAGAAAGTCTTAAAAGGGGGACTAGATGATAAATGAATGAATGAATGAATGGACCACCTGGTCGCGGTGTTCGAGATATTAGGGATTAGTGGTTAGAAACTGATGGTGATAACAGTGGTACACTTATCATCTTTGAAACACTGATTGCTTTGTTAACGTTTTTTGTTTCTCCACCCCCTTCTTACACTATATACTTCAATAATATTCTCTTTCTAATCACTTCCTACTTCTGTGCTGCTGCAAAGAGCGGGAAATTGAAGTGATGCATTTGTGTACAAGGTTGCAAGTTGGTTTATCTGTCTGTCTAAGCGTTACAAATTTTTCTCCTGACTACACAGATTGTTCTCGTTGGCTGACATTCTTTAATCGACATTAAATAAACAGGCAGTATCATCTTACGATATGGAGCTGTAAACAAAAGGTACAGTACAGACTTCAGAACACCTTGACTAGCAACACCTTAAGAAACTTTTAGGAGTACTTATAAAATCCCAACCCCAAAAGGTTACTTGATTAATGTGCATACGTAAGAACTTAACCTTGAATACAAGATGACTGAAAGTTTTATGACTTAACATAGGTAAAGCAGTAAACGTCCTGAGGCTCCTCTGGTTGGTGAAATCGCACCACGGATACAAGACGCTCCATTTGCATTGGCCAACTTATCCCATCTCCACTGCCAGAGACATTCGGATGTCTACTGAGAGTTGTTTACAGTTCAGAACTATGACTATTTGGCCACTAAAGATGTAAAACTTATACACAATTTAATTATTTGGTCAGATATATTCGTAGCATCACTGGTACGTTGTGCGATCACTGAGTAGAGTTTAAGAGTAGGATACAGGCAAGAGAAACGATGTCTCTTTGCCATCTCTGCTTATGCGCCGACGGATTGCAGCCGGGATGCAACCAAGGATGAATTCTATCATCAGCTGAGTGACCTTCTCAACCAAGTGCCCTGGACAAATACCATTGTGCTAGCTGGGGACTTGAATGCGCAGGTCGGGCGTTTAGACTCAGAGGAGGGTCGTTAAGGTGCCCATTGGGGACTAGTTGGCCAGAGATTGGACAATGGAGGTCGTCTTTCGCAGCTTTGTGAGGATCACAACCTATTTCTAGCCAGCACCAACTTCAAGTATAGCCATCGCCGTTGAGCTACTTGGCGTCTTCCCTTTGCCACTCACGCCCAGACTCAAAGAGATCATACCGCAATCAGCTACCGATGGTGTGAGTGAATACAGGCTGTCACTCCATATGAAGTACTTGTTTGGACTGTGATCATGATTTAGTGTGTCCTAAGCTCGTCTTACGTTTTGGTGGTCATCAAAACCGTCGTCCTAAACAAGTCGATGCAAGCAAATTAGTTGCACCTAACACTGCAGCTAAATACCAATCCGAGCTAGATTTAAGGCTGGCTACCGATCCCCGAAAAAGTGCAGACGAGCATTAGCTGCACTCACAAGACGTCATGAAAGTGGCGAATAAAGCCGCTTGCGGCCTGGAAGAACATCCCATTAATAAACACTATGCCTCTGCGAGATCCCTGCAACTTTTTGACGCCCGTCAGACCATTCCGGCAGATAGCGAGTACAATGGTTAGCGTAAGTCCCTTACGGGAAACATTACACAACGCTTACGCAGGGACCGTGGGGCTTGGTAGTCAGAACGCGCCAGTGAGGTGGTAGCAGCAGCCGCATCCGGCAATAGTCGGAAGCTGTTCCAGCTCATCCGAGTCACCAGCAGCAAGAAGTCAGGTGTCAGCGAAACGCTCTGCGAGGTACGTGGTACGCTGATAAACAATCTTCGATGAAGCCTGAAAGGCTGGGTGGAGCACTTCGAGAAGTTTAGCTGGTCCACGGCTCCAGCATTGTCACCTTCGGTGTATCGTGCTCCATGGTCAGTTATTATTGACCTACCTACGGAAGCGGATGTCTATAAGGAACTCCAAGCCTTGAAACGCTACAATGCACCCGGCCCAGACAACTTATCCCCGACTCCTTTTAGGGAGGTAAGAATGACTCTAGTCAGGGAACTAAACTATTTGAGAAAGTATGGCAGACTGAGAGTGTTTCATCACTCTGGAATGAAGTTATTGTTGTGTCCATCTTTAAAAAAGGTCAACGTAACATAGGTGACAATCGTCGGGGTATTGGTCTGCTACCAGTAGCGTCGGAAATATAGGCTGCTATCATACTTCGCAGACTTCGCAAAACAAGTGAGGAAAAGAGTTGCAATGAGCAGACCGGGTTTCGTTCTGGTCGTGGATGCACTAATCATGTGATTACCCTCCAACAGATGCTTGAACATTGCCACACACATTGCAGGCCAAAAATTGCGGTTTTTTCGACATTAGGGCTGCCTTCGATTCATTGGACAGTTGTACCCCAGAACTGACTGTTGGGTAGGGGCGTGCCTGAGAGATTTTTTAACATCTTGAAATCTCTATATAATAACACCTCAGGAAGTGACGGCATACAACCAACCACCTGTCTTCATCGTTTCAAACCAGCAGTTGGGTTAGGCAAGGTTTCCGGATCCCCCATTCCGCCGTAACTTTGTCATCGATGATATTCTTGAGACAGCTCTGAAGGAAATGCGTCATGGTGGTGTATATCGACTACTCGGAGAACGGCTACTCGACCCTGAATATGTGGACGGTATCGTATTACAGTGTGACAACACAGGCTGCTCAAGTCGCACTTAATCAGTCGGCGATTAGCGACCGTAAGTACGGTATGTGCTCTGCATCACTAAAGTGCAAAGTACTTTTGAAAGATTGGCAGGAGCTTGTGTCTCCACCCACACTTGGTGATGAGCCGTTGGAAGTAGTCGAAAAGTTCGTGTATCTGGGTAGTTGTCTGTGGTGAAATCTCCAACCGCATATCGAAAACCAAAGTGGCATACGTCAATCTGAGCCACCTTTGGCAACGTCATGACGTCAGTCTGATCGTAAAAGGTCTGGTTTACAACGCTTAGGCGCCAGCAGTTCTGCTCTACGCCTGTGAAACCTGGCCTTCGAGTCGAGCATGTGCGACGACTGTGTGTTTGATCATCATTTTCTTTGCTGGACTGCTCTTATCCGGTGGCAACACCATGTAGGCAATTCCGAGGTACGACAACGTATGTTTGGGCATGATGGATATCGTCATTCAATAAGTGAAGTC